AATTTATATATCAGAATCTTTTCCCACTTTTGATCCTTCAGGCTCATTCCGATTGCTCACTAATCATGAGCTGAGGATAATTAAATGATCAAAGTTGGTTTTGATAAGATATTCTTATGTATAAACCACATAATTAGTATGAATATTATTCGTACCTTGATTGATCACTTGTGCATACTTTGAGTTTCATTTGTAAATCTTCTTTAAAAATTTAAATTTCATTTTGTGTACTTTCTCTTTTTGCAATCGAATTCTACATTCTATGCTTATCCTATATAGGTTTCATTTTTATTCAAAGTTATCACTCTGCCATAATCCTTTGCTATTCCATTACTTTGTAAGTATCACTTTCGGCATAAAATTGGTCTCTTTCACCTTCCATTTTTAGCAAAGCTGTATTAGTAGTTAAGCTAAATATTTTTATAAGTTCTATATATTACGGGACTAATGATAGCAGTAGTGATTAATAACCTGCTGCAATTCACACTCCGCTTTTTTGTTTTGGGTTCAATCTGTCTGCCCAAAGTCATTATATACCATGGGTGTGAATTGAGATAGGTCTGCTATCCGTTGTCTTAAAAATCATTCGTATAGTGAAATTTTCTCGACTAGAACTGTTATCAGGTCACTTTGCTGGCATTTTCTTGATTCTGATTTAAATCAGGTTGTCAGTGAAAGTCTCGAAAATATGGCATATTAATTATAACTAATTGTCAACAGATCTATTTTCAATCTCTTTTAGCCTCACCGAATTAGGTTTTAAGTATTGATATGCTTGGACACTTTAGTATCATTTACCGACAGATCTCTCAGTTATTGAATCTACACTTTAGCTGCCAGCTGGTCAAAATGCCATTGTTGCTATCATGTCCTTCTCCGGCTATGACGTTGAGGATGCGCTTATGGTGAACAAGGCCTCTCTGGATCGTGGCTTCGCGCGAGTTGCCGTTTACCGTCGTGCCGGGGCCCATTTGAAGATGCACGATAACGCTGTTTATGATCGTCTCATGGGGCCGACGATCGACAGAGGTATGCTGACCAATGGCGAATCAGATCCTGATTTGTCCATTTACTACTT